TGTGATAGCTGTGAGTGTTGCAACACTCTCTGCAGAGGCATTTTTGTGTGGGATCCAGGTGATCATCCTTGGCAGGTCACTCCCTGCAGATAGTCCCACCTGTGGCCAAACCATAGGGCAGCTGGGATCAGCCCAACTGGAAACCTGGCTCTTTAAATCTTGTTGTGGAGGGGAGTTGCTTTCAGCTTTGGCAGTCTCCAGGATCAGTCCAGGTAAATGCTGCACATTTTCATGCAGAATGTAGTCCTACAAGTTTCAGATTGGGTCTTTCAAAAAGCATTTGGAATTTGAAGGCAAGAGGTACATTGTGGTTTTGCTGAAACTAAAGCAGTGACTTGTGCCTGGTTACACATTCAACTACCATTTGGTTTAGGTCTCTAAGAACAGAATCTTATAAAAATTACAGGAATTATATTTAAATTCATTCTTTTCATAAATACAGCTTAGATAAAGGATTAATGTTAAGAGAAGCTACAGAAGATGGTGACCACCTTCTAGTCATTAGGAAATAAAAATCAGAGCTGAAGCCATAGCCAAAGTTAACCTGGAGTTATGGATGGAAATATTCATTCCCCTGCAGAGGGATTTTGCAGTCTGACAAATGTCTTGAAATTTGGGGGAGTTGTTGAGTCGTGAAGTTGTGATATTTCCCTGGATGAAATGAGTTTGTTTGCTTATTTCTGTTTCTACTGCCTGAACTGATTGATATGATTGTTGTTGATTTATCTTTTCATGACATGCATATTTGTGTTCCTCAGATAAATGGGAAGCCCCTGCAGTACATTTTCCCTCATGCAAGGCTCAAACTACTGAGAGACCCAAAGGATCACACAGTTTCAGGTAAAAAAAACAATCCTCTACCAGACATGATAATTAATTTGATTAGCATGAATTATACAAAAGACTTGCAGCACTAAAAATATTTCTCTGTCTATGCAGCAGGAAATGCAGTGGTCATTTTAAATCTTGCTTGCTGGTTATAACAGAAAGCAGCAGTGCAGAAAAAGGGTCACAACATCTGTTCAAGATATATAAGCTATACAGACGTTAAAAACAGAGGGGAAATCTGTTGTGTTATCCATATGAGCAGCCTGTTTTGCTGTTGCATTTTATGTAACTCTATATTCTCTGCATGAGAAGCTTTCATAAAATAGGCTTGTGTAGGTGTTCAGCATGTACAGAACTGAGCATTTTCTTCTTTCTCTTCTGGAACTATCCTCCCTTACAGAGAGGGTTAGCAGAACAATCATCCCATATTTCTCTGCTGTTTTCACATGGAGACATTTATCATAGGACTTCAGAATTATTCTCTTTTTCCTAACACTGACACAAATGTTCTTGTAAGTCAGAGTCTGCTAGCAAAGGGCATGAGTGGCAAAGGTGATGTTCATTCACCTCCCAGGCTGAGAGCAGAGATGCAATGTGATGTTTTCAGGTACCAAACTCTGAAAGGCTTCTGGTTGCAAGACCTAACACAGGTAAAAGTTTTTTCCTGTGAGGGTGATGAGACACTTGCACAGGGTTCCCGTGGAGGTAGTGGATGTTCCAAGACTGGCAGTGTTCAAATCCAGGTTGGATAAATCCTTGAGCAACCTGCTCTGGTGGGAGGTGTCCCTGCCCAGGGCAGGGCTTGGGGCTGGATCATCTCTAAGGTCCATTCCAACCCCTAAAAGTCTATGATTCTTAGGTCTGTGTGTCTGAGCTTTTGAAATTTCACTCTTCCTCACATCTAATACTGATAAGGAACTCAAAGTTGTTCTAATGTGCTGTTTGTTTTCTTTGGGTGAGAGATGCTTTAAGCAGTTTTGTCGTGAAACCCTCTGACGTTCTTTTAACTTGCTTAAAAAATCCTAATAGTGTGTGTCAAACTCTGTTTCTGCACAGAAGTAATTACCCACTGCCAGCTCTGGTGTTCCCTCAAGCATTAAGCAGAAAGTGGCATGAACTTACTTGAATTGCTAAATATTGTTTTCACAGGGTTTCTGGCAGTAAAATCTTGATAATTTCCATCCTCGGTACCCACCTCATATTTAGGGTGTTAAATGAATGTTCTGTATTTATTATGAGGTATTTTCTTGTTAGTCAGCGTAACACCCACGGATGATTTCAGGCTACAGAAAGACCCTCCACCCACACAGCACAGTCTGAAGGCTCTGCTGTGTGTCAGCCTGCTCTGCTCCAGGTCCTTGCAGTCCTCAGGACCTGCTTGGCATCCTCGTGGGGATCTTTGCCCTGCAGGGGGATGAGTAATGCTGTGATCCAAGCTGCTCTCTTACTCAAAAACAAGTGGAATTACAACCACGCAACTGTAAAGCTCATGACTTAGTGTTGCTGGAGCCTGTTCTCCTATGTAAAGTCACTTCCCCTCGTGCAGTGTGAAATTCCTAGTCCAAATTCTCCACCAGCTCTCGTGCTGGCAACCACAGCAACATCCCATGCATCAACATCGATGCCTTGTGAGCAATAATGGGCAAAACCAAGGGGTAGGTATTGACTTCCCATTTACTAATGCCCTGCCCACCATGAGGTGACACAGGATCAAATATTTACTCAGGATCCTGCTAAGGTTACATAGCCCACACTAGGATTGCTTTGCTGCTGTTAATTAGTTGTATTTTTCACTCCTTGTACATCTTGGAAATACCATAACTCCTTGAGTATATACCTCAAAATTAAAATACAGGGAAACTCTCTCCAAATGTGCAGTGCTTTATGCTTAGCCTTCAGCTTTGCAAATGACCTGTCCTAGTGCTATACAGATGGTTTTGAAAGAATTTAGTTTTGATTAAACATTATCTCCAAACTAACAGTAAGTATTTTTATTTATTAAGCAGACAATGACTATTAACCAGAGGAAGACCTAGAAATGTTTTATGCAACAGAAGTTGCTTAAAATATTGGTAAATTGATCAATATATACTTTTATACCACCACAGTTACCTCACTGCAAGAGTATGTGATATTCACCTAGATGCCATGTTTGGCTGCTTCACTGGCTGGTTTCTTTTTATTTCTTTATTTCTTTTTATTTTTTCTCTTCATCTCTTTCTGCTCTCCCTTTCTCCCTCCCTTTCTCCCTCCCCTTCTCTTTCTTTATCCAAACTACCAAAATGAGGTGTTGAGTAATTTTGTTTGCCTTATACTAATTGCATAAAACACACAAGAGTGTATGTAAAAAAAACTAACAAGCCTCAGTAAAGCTCACATGGAGACCAAGAGAGCAGCCAGTCACATGGCAATGGGAATCTCTGTTGGGATCATCCTTTAAGTAGCATCTTCAGCTGAACTGTTGTGTTGCTGGATCCTTACAGACCACCTGGCCTGTGGTCCTGAGTGACCACAACAGCATATGCATCATCCACTGTCTCTGGTTATCTCAGAGGATGTACAAACCATCCTCTGGCTTAGCTATGCACAACACTCTGTCATGTGTGGTCGTTTCTGCACATGCCAGAACTGTTTGTACTGATGTTTTAAATGACCTGTGTGCAGTTTGGTTGGCTCAGCAGCAGGAGATGCCTGAGACTGCCAGGTTCTCCTCTTGGGGAATTAATGAACACATCTTCAGTAAGTAATTTTTTTATCTTAACTGGAGTGTGCACAGCAAGAGCTACATAGGGAAATGTCCCAAACTGTCCACAATTCCCACTTGGAGAACTCCTGTAAGTGTTGACCAGCTGCTTTGCTGGGAACCAGGCCAGTGCTTTAGCCCATCATCTCATCTCTCTAGAGCTCCTGGGCCAGCCTGGGCATTAATGATTCAGTGTGCTGGGTCAGCCCTGGTAACCAGCTCTATGACAGCTGTAACTGTAGGACAGGCTTGAATTTCATCCTAATATCACCATTATAATTTGAATTCCTTAGGTCTCATCACAATCTTACCATAATAGAAGTTACTGTCTGATTACAAATCCAGAAATATTCACATTAGGAATATCAATAATAACAGTAGACCCAAATATTTTAAAATTCAGGCTTTATCACTACATATTATATGCACATGTGTTCTGTTTATTTGCTTCCTTGGTTAATTGAAAACTGTCCCTGAGGTACAGATGGCTTTGATGCCTCTTACATAATCTGGCATAATTTTGCACACAAAAGCATCCTCTGCAAATTTTGGCATGTGAATGAGGTGTTTAAGGAGGGAGAAACTGAGCCAAAATTGTGATGGCTAAAAGAATGGTAGGGCTGAATGAAAAATAAATGTCTACTTACTCGCTGGCCTCTGCCTTGAAGGTTCTTGTTTCTTTATCATATGCCATCATCTAGAACAAACAGCTCTTCTTTTCAAGGTATGCAGTGTCCCCTCCTCAGGCAATGCTGATAGGTGTGAAGGAATTGCCAGCTATTTTCTCTGGCAAGACTGACTAATAGTTTGCAATAAAAAAAGAAGCACTGGCATTAGGATTATGCTGAGGTGCCAAAATTATGACATCAGTGATCAGTGAATGACAATATAACAGTGTTTAACACTCCAGAAACTCATTGTTTGTTTTCACTGAGAGTCCCTTGTTCCCTTGGGATCCTTTAGCAAAGCAGTGTTTGGTACTGCCAGAATTTTCTCTTCTGGTTTTTTAGTGAGCCATCATTATATTTGAAAAAGTGAATTAAGGACATGGCTACTGAAGGTAGTAAAAGCACTGGCAATGCCTTTGGGAATATTGCAGAGCTAACTTATATTGTGTTCTTCCTGATCAGAAAGCTGTTGAAGCACAGCCTGGGTGAAAATCCAACAAGACAGACACATCCCTGTACATCTATAAGTACAAGGAGTGCACTCTGTCAAAGGTAGTTTTTGCTGCTTTACCTCACTTAGGCTGAGTCACAAGTAATTCTTGCTTTTGTTTTTTAAAAGAGGGATGCTCTTTATTTCCAGGGAGCAAAATCTCCCTTGAAGCAGCCAGACTGTCTGTGTTGTGGAACATCCTCTTCAATTCTGATGAAAAAAACAATAGGCAGAGAAGCAATTCAGAAGAAGCTGTGAAATTTTTAGTGGAGTAAAGAAGAGAATTAGGCTGTGGGCAGAAGTCTGCATCCCTAATCTCCACTTGAGCAGTGATGTCAGTGAAACTGCTAAGAGGATGAGCAGGTAGCTGTAACTCTGTACACACATCAGATATGTCTCATACTCTCCATAAGGATTACTAATTCCTGCAAACAACACTACACATCTCTAGCATACCAGCTCATGGGGTACCTACCCTGAGAGAGAGGAAGAGAATTTGGAGTTTTTCTGTATCAAGATCTCACTGCTGTAGGGAGTAGATATATATTTAGGGTTCTTTCACCTCCAAGTTCAGCAAAAATCATTTCTTGCAGCAAAAATACTGAAGTGCAATGAATATGTGATTACAAATCAATTAAAAGCATGTTAAGTGTAGTCCCAGTCTGTGTTGAATGTGATGTAGTATTCAGAGAGTGAGAACTGAAACTCATCTCTTGCCCTCATACTCTTCCAGGATTACTTACCCTATTTCTTTCACTCAGTGTTGTGAAGAACTGAGATAATACTTTGCACAAAAATAAAGCAATACCTTCCCCTAACATTCCCTTGTCACTGGGGAAGGATTTAATCCCTAATTAATGGCCATCATTCTCTCAAGCACTTGCTCCTTATCAGAGAAATGGCACAAAAATGTAACCCATAAACAGAAAGAGACTGAGCTGTTCCAGCCAGGAAACATCAGATATTTCAATGGGAAGTCATATTGTAGTAAATAAGGACAAGAATGGAAATAAAAGGAAGGAGGGATGCCTGTTGGTGTCTAAATAGAAATTTTAGAAAGAACTCTGTATCATTAAACTTTTCTAAATTAAAAAAAAGCAAGAAACAACCA